CCTACAGATGAATAACCTAAGAAGACACCCTCATCAGACTTGTGATCAATTTTCCTAAGGGATGTTTGCCATTATTCAAGATGAAGCACTTGCACCCAAAGACATGTAAGTGTGAAAGGTTCGGTGTCCTACCCTTAAGGAGTTCATAAGGACTTTTATTCAGCTTAGATCTAATGTTTATCCTATTTAAAACATAATACGCTGTGTTGACTGCTGCTGCCCAAAATTATTTAGGAAGGGTGTACTTTGCTAACATTGCCCTAGCAGCTTCTATCAAAGTTCTATTCTTCCTTTATGCTATACCATTTTGTTGAGGTGTTTTAGGGGCTGAGAAATTATGTTATATTCATATCTTGACAAATTGATTCAAATCTATCATTTTGAAACTCTCCACCATGATCGCTATGGATTGTTGAGATTTCATAACCTAATTTTTATTGAATCCATGTGGAGAATACCTTAAATTCCTCAAAAGACACATTCTTATGTGCTAGCAATTTTACCCAAGTGAATTTAGTGAAGTCATCTACAATCACAAATCCATAATATTTTCCACATAGGCTGGCTGTACTAACGGGTCCAAATAAGTCCATGTGTAGGATTTCTAATGGCCTAGAGGTGATCACATCTCTAATTGAATGGAAGGATGATTTGACTTGTTCTTCTAGTTGGCAAGCATCACATAAGTGATCCTTAGTAAAGTCTAACTTAGGTACGCCTCTAATTAGATTTTTCTGAGTGATGTTTCTAAGTTTTTTCATATTAGCATGGCATAGTCTCATATACCATAGCCACGAGTCATCAACTATGGTTTTCAAACAAAATAAATTTGAACTATCAATGCAATCAAGGTCTAACATGTAAACATTGTTCATTCATTTTCCTTCTAAAACTAGTTTATTATTTAAACTAATCAGGCATTTATCGGACATAAATTTTATATCAAAACCTTTGTCACACAATTGACAAATGCTAAGTAAGTTATGCTTCAAACCATCAACTAATAAAACATTTTCAATTAAAAAATTCTTAGCATTACCAATAACACCTGAGTCTGTCACTTTCTTGGTAGTGTTGTCTCCCAATGTTACTTTGCCTCCAGTTCTAGTCTCCAGTAAGATGAACTTCTTCATATCTCCAGTCATGAGTCGCGAGCAGCCACTATCTAGGTACCATATGCTCTCACTAGGTCTTTTGTGAGACCATCCATATAATTTCATTCAAAAATTATATTTGGGAACCCAAGTGAGTTTGGGTTCCTCCTTATGCTTGCATGAATGAGATGTATGTATGTTATGCTGTGATGGATGCAGTTTAGGTCTCCATACTAAGTGTGTCCTATGGTGAATTGTGCATGTGCGGGCAATGTGACCTAGCATGCCACAAGAGAAGCACCTAACACCAGGAAATGGATTCACTAACCTATTTGGGTGGTGATGCATCTTCCTAAAGTTGTGTGATGCATGCTGTGTTGGGGGTCGACTAGGTTGGCTAATTTGAGTGATGCAATTTCTTTTTTTAATTCTTTGATTCTTTCTTGAAAAGTGTTGTTTTGATATGTTAATCCATGAACTTCTATTTTTAACAAATTCTCACTGTGATCTACTTCTAATGCAAGTTTGCCTAATCTATGAAAAGCCTCTTCTAATTCAACATGAGTGGTTTTCAAGGTTTCATGCATTTCAGTTAGTTCAATATGCTTCTTATTTAATGCATCATACTCATCAAGAAGTAGCATATGATCTCTAACTAAATAAGCATTTTCTTAATATTCCACATTAGAGCTTTAATCATTATTGTTTTTTGAGGAAGTATGAGCTCTGGTGGATCTAGGGGTAGCAGGACAGCTATTTTTATTTTGTTTACCTTTTTTCTTACCTACTTTCAAGACCCAATCCTCCGTTTTAGAAACATTTAAATCAGGAGAAGAAGTAGACTTACCTTGATTATTTATACGAGAGTTGGCGGCCTTAGAAGGAGGAATAAATTCACCTTCTTCATCAGATTCAAGATAATTATCCACTTCAGTCACCGCAACAATATCACTGTCCTGTTTAGCAATCAGAGAATTTTCAATAGCTACAGAATTAGATATAATAGGCAAATTATTAAACATATCATCTACCAATATATAAAGCTTAGGATCAGTAGTAGCAACAATATTCGATTCTTGAATCTTAGGGATCTGTTCAGAGATGTCAGGCTCAGAAGCCATATCATTCACATCAGCCTTTTCATCAACATCTTCAGCCATATTACCTCCATTTTGAACAACAATTTCCTCATTAACAATTTCCTCATTAAGATTTTGTATCGCGGTAGGTGATTCCACCAGAATCACATTATCACCTCCATTGCTTTCCACTCTAGGCACATAAATTTTATTATTCTCGGTAATAGCAGGTTTTCCACCATTAAGAACATCATTTTTTTTTTAAATCCGGATGCAGTTTGAAATAATCCGTATGCGCATGACCATGTATTTTACAGTGAGTGCAAAATTCAGGCACTTTCTCAAATTCTGCTTTTTGCATGTAACCATAAGCTTTCGATCCTACCCAAATTTCAGAAGGATGTTTTTTCGATATGTCAACTTCAACAAGCACTCTCGCAACAGACGGGCGAGTTTTAGAAGCTGTCGCTTGATCCGTTTGCAGAGGTCTCCCGAAAATAGACCCTAATGCATGCAGGACTTTGGAATTAAAAAAATGCAATCTTAAGTTAGGGAAAGAAATCCAAATCGGTACAATCGGTGACTCTTCCTTAATGTCAAAAAAAGGAGTCCATTTCAAAACCCTCATCTGACAGTTATGAATAAAATACGAACGTCTAGCAAAGACTCGACTATAATCTAAATCATTAGATAGTTGAATCGCAACATGCCTACTATCCAGTAAACCCACCGAATAAAATCCAGAAAGTTTTAAAGAAGAGAAAAAGTTCCGAATACCATCGAGATTCGGACGACGTAGACCTAATTTTCCGACCAAAGTAAATTGAAAAGGGAAGGCCAACTTAAGGACCTCCTCATCAGATAAAAGCACTGCCAGAACACCATTAAAAACCGATTGTTGAACATTTGGAAAAGTATCACCTGATGAAGAAGCACCGGCTAAAACCTCTTTGAAAGATCTAGATCTAGCAGGAGAAGTAGATCCCTCAGCATCCAACTCAAAAAAACCTTTATTCTTAACAAAAGACGGCTCCGAAGCTTTCCCCCAAGGATTGGCCGGAGGAGCTGAAACAGCCATGAGAAAAGAGCCCCAAAGGGCACTCCGCACTCGAAAAACGCTCAGATCACAGCCAACAAAAGAAAACCGAAACGAAACGAAGGAAAAGAAGAGCCGATCAGCAGCGGAAGACGATCGCTCGAGGAAACCCTAAATCGCCAGAGCGACGATAAAAGGTGAAGAGAGAGAGTTTTGATTTGACGAACATGTGAACTTCTTTAATTTTCTCTTATTCCTATACAAAGGATTGTAATCGCAACTAATATGTATATTTGAATCTCTTTCATCAATAAAGTGGATGTAGGTCTCTTGGCAAGTCAAATATAATGTGATTATTGTTGTATATATTAGTTGATTTTATCTCTTCTTCAGTAAAAGTTGTGTGATTTAATTGTTTTTTATCTATGAAATTTTATCATATCAGAAGTTCGAATAACATTGAGGGTCAAAAGCAAAGGATAATAAAAAGAAGAATGATAGAGTTTTATGAGAAACTAGAATTACGTCTAAAAGAGTAAAAAGAAAAAAAATACAATTATGACATTTTTGACATAATTCCCAACAAGATAAACCTCGCTATCCTTAAATTTACACTAAAATTAGTGTCATATATATGATATAAAAGAGTTATATTAATCTCATCTTAAATTTTGGGGAAGAGGCATTACCTGGTTATAAGTTGGTGTGGCTGTAACCTGACGGACTTTTTGATGGGTTATATTTTCAGATGGTATCTCCTCTATGTTACTGAGTTATTATCCTGTCAGTTTTCCTATCCTTCTAATATTTCTGTTTTGAGATTTCTTTGCAGGGGGTTCTTTTCTTTAATTGTCTGGTACATCAACGACTGCAAGGTACTCATTTTTTTGGTTTTTTATTTGCTTTTCTACTTTCATTATCAATTTTGCAGGAAGACTGTGATGAACGAGATACATCTGATCTTTCAATTTTGGGTGTTGTATCTTCATAGCCCGTGTTCTTATTTATGTTATTTTTATAATCTTAGAATAAGAAACCACCGGATCTCAGGTTTTTCTTCTTTTTTCATTATATCTCTTGAGAGCATTAGCGAGCTTGAGGATCCTTTTAAGGATTTTTGTAACTGTTTTACTGATATCAACGCGTAGGCCCCTCCCTTGGTTTTAACTAAAAAAAAAAAATCTCATCTTAAATTTAAAAACATTGAAACTCTTATTAATATCCTAATTTTTTTCAAAATAAATTATTTATAAGGTCCTATAAGATTAAGGCTTTGTAGCATTTTAGAATTACTACAAATAAGTAAATATTTTGTAGCATGTCCCACACCTAAACTTTTTTTTTTTTTTTTTAGAGAGAAAAAAGTCAACAGTTTGAATTCATACAGCAATTATTTAAATCAATGAAAATTCTACACTGATTAAAAACCTCGCAATATAATCCTAAAAATACAAATAAAAAACAATGATTAAAATTACTGTTATTGAGAAGAATTTGCATCACCTTAAAAAACGGTTGACAGAGAAGCATTTTAATAGTGAATGAGCACTGTGCAGTCAATAGTGCCCTTTCCCCAAGCTTGCAAGAAAGCCGAAGCACTTCCAAGCTAAAATACGGCTTATAGTACTTTGTTAAATACAGATGCACATCTGGTACAGTAGACCTTCACACGTCCAAAGGGCAAAGTAGTCAATCCAAGCTCAACTACTACCATTAATTATTTCTATTCAGTAATGCCAGAGCACACCACAATTATGATGATTAACAGTAGAGGCAACTAATTAGCTAAAGGGATCAGTATATAATGTGTTATGTCCTCCAGCCTGTTCCCTTTCCCTTTCCAACTTTTTCTTCTCTCTCCCTCTCTCTTTCTCTCTCTGTGTCTCTCCCTGTCTCTCTCTTTCCCCTAGCCCTGACCAAACTGATCGATCCAGCTTCAAAACATTCAGAAAACCTCTTCTAGCTTACAGATCACTGGTCCAACTTGGCTTCCAATTTGAATCTGGTTGGAAGGTAAGAGAAAGTGAAAGAGAGATTCAAGGGAAGGAAAGGAAACAAAGATCTCATCTTAGAGTGGAGAAGAGGAGGAAGAAGAAGAAGATGACACCAAATTTGGCCTCTCAATTTGGTGACACGACCTACACCAAAGTGTTTGTGGGAGGGCTGGCTTGGGAGACTCATAAGGAAACCATGAAGAAATATTTTGAGCAGTTCGGGGATATCTTGGAGGCTGTAGTCATCACTGACAAGAATACCGGCAGATCTAAAGGCTATGGATTTGTGTGTTCTCTCTCTCTCTCTCTCTTTCATTATTCTTTTTTTACAAAACATATATTTTGTTGATTTCATGTGATATAAACTTAGAACAGAATTAATCAAGATCTACTTCTCGTGTTTTTCTTTTATCATTTTGACATGTTAGGTTACCTTTCGTGAGGCTGAGGCAGCCATGAGAGCTTGTGTTGATCCTTCTCCGGTGATAGATGGAAGGAGGGCTAATTGTAATCTTGCTTCTTTAGGGGTGCAAAGAACAAGACCCCCTACACCTCAACATGGTAAAGTGTTCATCTTTTTTATCATTTTATACGTGTTTTTAATAAGATCTTTGAGATTAATGCATGTCGTATACTTAATTTGGGCTCCATTTTATGCATTTGTCAGTTCTTTTGGATACTGTGTATATATTCTATTAATTTATGGATAAACTAATTATAGAAAACTGTGTGGGTTAGGATACTTTTATTGGGTGTAACACATTTTTTTCATTCACTGTTTAAAAGGAAACTGGATATATTTGCTGGTGAAGACATTATCATTATCTCTACAAGGAAAAAGCCATTGATCCCATGGAAGGAAAACTAATAAAGAACTTCCAAGATCTTATGTACAGATATGCTTTGATTAATTTGTTAAGAATATTTACTAGCTTGATCTTAAGCATCTATTATTGTGTAAACCCTACAAAGGACTCCTTTTGTTGCTTGAAGTTACTGTTAACTTTAACTAAACGACCCCTAATTATATTTTGTTCTTATAAAAATTCAGAATTAGCATTTATAATCTAATTATGCTTAGCATAATAAATGAATTTATTGAGAAAATAAATTATTTAAAACTGAAAACATGAACAATGGAACAGTCTTCTTGAAAGAATAACCTTCTTTTGGGAAAAGTGGATGAAATTATTAAGCGTGGTAGTTATCCTAGGAAAGAGAGCTCCTTTCCTTCTGTAGTAATTTTATTAACTGGGTCATCAACTTTATATGAGTTTCTTAGTGATTTAAGTACATGCAGATTCTAGCAAACAATTAATATGTTATCTACTAATTTTTCTGTTATTAGCTGGCCCCATGCCAGTTAAGATTACAACTAAGCGAATGTAAAAAAGTTTATGTGGCTTGCATTTAAAGGTCATTAATGGCTGTACTAATTATATTTTATGGTTAATTAATCTGATTTGCAGGTGGAAGCAGGAGCTTTAGGGTGATGAAATCATATCAAGGAGGTGTTCAAGCTGGTGGCATGGCTACAGCTTTCCCTTCTCCTGTCACCTTCCCTCATTATGCCATCCATCAGGGTATTCCATATAATGTATACGGGTAAGCTTTACACTCTGGAAGTCGCTTGCACTGTTGATGCTTTGCACGTGCATGCATGCACATTTGCTATGCATGCCCCCCATCTTTCTCTCTCATACAACATACATGATATAAATATATATACAAGAGATAGAGAGAGAGAGAGAGAGATAATCATGTATGTTGTCTCAGAGAGAGTTAGAGAGAGAGAGATAATATAGTTATGTGCATTGAATTGTGATACATCTACTTCATATCGATCTCCCTCACATACATAGCTATTTTGATGGTAGTGATGCATGCATGCATGCATCATGATCCTTGTGATGCATGTGAGATGTGTAATGGATGAGTACCATGCACTGGTTGGCCTCCTATCTTTCCCTTTTCCTTTATCTTACAAAAGCTGCCATGTGTTTGCCCGAGCACAGGCATGAGGCATCCAACTGCTTCAATGCTTAGCTTTATCATCCTCTCTCTCTCTCTCTCTCTCTCTCTCTCTCTCTCTCTCTCTCTCTCTCTCTCTCTTCTCTTCTCTTTCTCTGTGATAAACTCTTCATTAACATGTTTCTTTAACTTTTTTTGGTCAGCTATTCCCCTTACTCTCCGGACTACCCTTGCCCTACGGTTAGTTCTTCTTCATTCTCTTATATTAATTGCATGCTTATACGTACATATATGGCATTAATTCATTGAAAGCAGCCACTATTCTTCTCGTTAATATTCTTCTTGTACAAGTTATTTGGAAAGTACTAGGAAGATTAAATAAATAAAACAAAATAAAAGGGAAAAACATTCAGTAAAATCATGTATTTATAATATATCTAATATTTAGATTTATTTATATTTTATAATATTTTAGTGATATAAAATAATTGAGACTTATATTTTATATAGAAATATCTTATATTTTTAAGATTATTTGTCTTAGGCTTAATTTGGAACAGCTTTCTAAAATAATTTTTAGAACAAAATTTTTTTATTATAAAAAGCTGTAAAAAAAAAAACTATCTAAAATAAAATTTTACTATCCTAACTCAACAATATTGCATGAGCTCATGACATATATTTTTCCCTTTTAAAAAAAAAAAAGAAGAATGGGCACTTTTACTCCCTTTTATTTCATTCTTTGCCAATCAAATATTTAAAAAGTTTTTTTTTTTAATTTGGTATATTTTTAGCTTGTATAACCATTTAAAAAAAGATTTAAAGAAAATCATGCATGTCATGTTTAATTAATGCCAATTAAATTAATGCAATTACTTGCATAGTATTTGATTTGTGAAAATATTTTAAAAAAAATCAAGATTTAATCCAATTCAAATCAAACTGATTGATATTTGGCTTGATTTCATGATCCAATTTATGCTGCTGAAATATGAAGAACACATAGAATGATTCACTACGAGGTATGTTCCTCATGTGGGTAATCGAAGCTGATTCATCCGAATTAAAACTTAGGCTTCGTTTGAGACGGCTTTTTTTATAGTTTTTTTAAAATAGAGTTTTAAAATTTTTGTCCTAAAATTCTATTTTAAGAAGTAATAAAAAAGCCATCCCAAACGAAGCCATAAATTTTTATTAAAAATCTATTTTACAAATTTCATTTGAAAATTTAATCAAATACCTAAATATATCCTTAGTAATTTTACTATAAACATTCAAACTTTATGTGATTTAAAGTTATAGTTGTACATTATCTTATATCTTACTTACAAAAGGGTTAAAACAAAATCAATAAAATTATGCAGTGTATGCTAATTTAATTTAATTGACATTTAATTTCAATGTTGTTAATAAGATTAAATTACAAAAAAAGTTTTATTTTCTTATCTTTGATGGCATTATAAACGACGATTGAAATAATGGTGTAAATGAGTCGAGTCAAGTCAAGTCGAGCATCTGCCTAATCGAGTTGAGCTCGTTTTATCCTTACTAAGCTCAAACTCAAGATCGAGCTCGACTCGAGTTTATTTACTGAGCTCAAAGTCGACTTGTTAAAAAAAAATTTGGCTAGTGCTCATTTGAAAAGCTTTAGTTTAACTCAATTGTTGAGCTCATTTTTATTTTATTTTTTTTTTTATTTTTAAGATATAATTTAAAATGTTAAACTATGTTATATAATAATACTAATTTAAAATTAATTTTTAAATTTATATTAAATTAATTGAACGGCTCGACGAGCTTACAAGCCAACCCATGTTGAGCTTAAGCTCGTATAATATATGAGCTTAAGTATAGGTTGAAGCTCAAATTTGTGGCTCAATAAACTCGACTCTGAGTCTACTTTGAACCTGCTTTGCTCACTTACACCCCTAGGTTGAATCTTCTCTAAACTACACGCATAAATGTAGAATAATATCAGACTGAATAGAATAAGAAAGTAGTTTGATTGTCAAATAATTTGAGTTGGTTCTTATTCTAATACAAATTTTAACAACCAAATCTATAAGTTTCACCTTATTATAAATGAGTTAAACATCATTAAAAATAATTAAAAAAAAATCAACTCTGATCAATAATTTAATTGAAAAATTACTGCCCTTTAACGTCCCCTACCAAATATATATTCTATATGTAGTGCACTACGTAGCAAATGCTGATGAGATGCTTCAGTTATACTGAGCTTTTCAACGAAAAAGAAATTCAGAAAGCTGAAAAAGATCAAAAAAGCAAATCATAAAGCTGTGCTTAGTAAAAGCTATCAGACTTAAGTTATTAATTAATTGAATGGAAACATTTTATATTAATTATATGGAATCAATTAATAGGTTAGTTTGTTTAAGTGCATGTGATCAACTATGTTGTAAATGACAGTTGATTGATGCCTATGGCCGTTGCTTTTGGCTTTTCTTTATTTTCATGATGTGCACAGTTTTGAAAAAAAAAAGTCTTGAAAGATCAGGAGATTAAGGCTTCGTTAGGGAAGGCTTTCTTACTGCTTCTTAAATTAGCTTTTTAGTATAAAAATTTAAAAATTTGTACTAGAAAGCTGGCTTAAGAAGCAGTAAGAAAGTCATCCGAAACAAAACTTAAATAGCTCTCGTTGATCTTTTGGTTGAGAGTTCTAGCTGTCAATCAAGAGGTTTTGAATTCGAAGCTTACGTATGTGATATATGTGTGAATTTGTCTTAACTGACATGAAAATTTGATTGGGGAGCAATCAAATTTTATATTAAATATTCTAATATAAATTATATTAAGATAAATTTAAAAATGATTTGATTTATTTTATGAATAAGTGTAATATAAACTTTTATATAAATTATTAGTTTAAAATAAATTTAATAATTTTAAATTTATCATGATATAATTTATATCAAGATATTCTGAAACTATCAACTAGCTTTCAGTCAAACTCATAATTTTCTTCAATCAATAGCAATGATAAAAAACTATGGCTCATGATCTTCTTATAAAGAAAAAGTTTTATCATTTGTACTATATACATAGTGATCATAGGAATTCTAAAATCTTAATAAAATTCATTATAATATTATTGTTGTATTAGTTGTAGTTGTGATACTTAGGGTCTGTGTGGGGCAACTTTCTCCCTTCTTTATTTTTCAGATAATAATCACAATTTTGTTTGGCTCTTAATTTCCACTCCTTTCTCTTTATTTTTTTTTTATATTATGATGAAAAGTTATTTTTTACAACTAAAATAGTTAAGTTGGTTTTCTCACAGCAATTTCACAATCAACTTTACAAAATACTGCAGTCATCTCAAAAAAAATGGAATATATAAGATATTTTACAAAAGAATAATATTTCATGGCCCTAATTAAACAAATTAACAAATGGCATTCTTTATAATATCATAAAAAATGCTTATTAAATATCTAATCAGTGCTCAATCTGGGGGCCAAAAGGCATATATTTCTGATATCTCAATTAGTACTCCCTAAATTTGAATACATCCCATGTGCTAAGCTAACTTTATGACTATATAGGCAAATCATCAATGCAAGCTCATTGATTGATTCTTAAAGCTTTTGTTGAAAAACTATCATGCAGGCATACTATAATGTCTATGGGGGTGGGGCTGGTCATCAATATCCATTATATGGTGGGAATAGTACTGCTACTGGTAATGGAATGGTAACTGGAACAAATGCTTTCTATCCATATTTTCAGTTTGGTCATGGACATACAGGCTATGGCTTACAGTATCCACAGCTGTTCCAGTACTCTGAGATGAACTCAACAGCTGGAATTACAGGATTTGCAGCTCAGCACTATGGAGTTTCGCCTGTTTCTCTGGCCCCAAGCACCCCAGCACAAGTTGCAGGTTAGCTAGCTAGCTTACTTAGTTTTCTGCTGCTAATATTAATATTTTAAGGCATAAATAAGGGAGGAAACGATAGTTGTTAATAATGGCTCGTCTATTTAGGCTTTTTACTTGCTTTTGTGTGCAGTAGATGTCAATAATGTCTAATATATAGTATGTTAGGTGGCAATATTGCTTCCCTCTTCCAAAGCAAAAAGAGAGAAAAAAAAATCTAATGTGGAAAATTAAAATTTTTGTAAGTTTTTATGAAAATTATATATATTTTTTCTTTTAAAATACCGCATTTTAGAAAAATAAGTGCTACACTAATGTCTATCCATATTTAGGTACATACTTAGGCTTCATTTGGGACGGCTTTCTTGTTGTTTTTTAGAGCAGTTTTCTAATACAAAGATTTCTAGTTCAAAAAATCTTTGTACTAAAAATTAAGTTATTTTAGAAAGCAACAAAAAAACCATCCCAAACGATGCTTTAATATAATTTTTAGGCTGTTGATCACTGTATATAGAAGAATGTAATTTAAATTTTAATGGGATACTAATATCTTTAACAGTATGTTTTACTTTGACACAGGCTTGACAATGTCTCTCATGACTGCACCCTCTCTTCCAACTCCAGCAGCAAACCACCACTACAGGTTTATCCCTTCTCAATTCCCCACCACAGCCATTCGTGAGCAACCTTTGGCCTAACCATGGTTAAAATTTCTTCATTTGTGCCCCCTTAGCTCCATCATCTCTTCCTTTGTTATTTCTTTGTCCATTCATTCACATATGAAAATTAAACCATGCAATCGCACGTACAAAGATAAGGAAGATCAAAACCTAAAGCCATGGGATGGTTTGAAGCTTTAGCTAAAGCTCTGGGATGGGCTTAAAGCTAACCTTCTTCTATGCACACTCCAAGGGTTGGGGTGTTTCATCAACAAAGAGAAACTAGAGAGACATTCTCGTCTAACTTCATAGATATAAATGCATGCCTAAGTTGGACAACTTGGGCTTCGTTTGGGACAGCTTTTTTATTTTTTCTTGAGACAACTTTCTAGTACAAAAATTATTGTTTTTTTATGCTAGAAAGCTGCTTCAAAAAATAGTAAGAAAACCGATCCAAACGAAACTTTAGACTTTATGTCAAAAAGTACAGCAGTTATATACATAGAGTAAGCAAGTATTTTTCTATGCTTGCAATGTTATTAATTAGGTCGACCACATGTGGTTACTTGGCAGGTTTTGTTGTATAGGGCAAAGGCTTAGCCCTTCCACATTTTCTCCTAACTTCAGCTAGTTCTCTAGTGGACTTAGCTGACCCACATCATTATTTCTTCTCATGCATGCATGTGCCTCTTTAGTACTGGGCAAGCTAACATGTCAACCTTATCTATGATAAGGTAAGAATACCTTTCTTTTTTTCACTCTTTATTGTGTAATTAGATGCATATGGCTGATTATCAGGCTCTATGGTGAGCTTGTTTTTTTCAGCTAGAGGAGGGCTAATGTTTTGGTATTGGCCTTCCTTTGTCTTCTAACTGAGCTAGGACTCTAGAGGTGGCTTTGGAGTTCTAGTTGCACTTGGGAGAATTTTTTTCTTCCATCAATCATGTAAACATTGGACCCTAGGGAGATGTTTTTGGTCTCTTTGGTCCAAGTTTTAATAGGCATCCAAAGTAGATCTACCATGGTTAGGTTCATGATCTCTCTCTCTCTCTCTCTCTCTCTCTCTCTCTCTCTCTCTCTTTCAAGAGTTCTCTATCTCAAGAACTTGGCATGTAACATTAAGAAGACTTATGATGATGCTTTTAATTAAGTAGACTACTTATGATGATGCTTTTAATTAAGTAGACTGTTTAATGGATTGTAATAACTAAGAATGCTATTATCTTAGGCAGTTTGTTTGGCACTGAATTATATTAGTACTTATATGTTTGTAGTTGATGTGATGTGGCTTCAAAACTTTATGATGTGTAATTTTTGTGTTATGGGTAAATTAATTAATTGCTTCTGGTAGTCATGTGCTTAAGCATTTTAATATGTTTGTAAATTTTGAGTTGGCCATGATAGCAATCAATTGCTAGATTATAATTATTTTGCAATTTTTTTTGAAAGATTTATATATTTAATTGATATGTTTTATATTTTTATACATCCAACATCTAAATATTTATGTTTAGGTATATATATATATATTATTTTCGTGTGTAAATAATATCAAAATATAAAAATATTTTTCAAGCGGAAATTTCATCGGAAATGCGCCGGAAATATTTCCGACGCATTATTTTGCGCCGGAAGTCTTTTTACTACGCGCGTGAAACCGGCGAAAATATTTCCGCCGGAAATGCAATTTTCTGACGGATTTTGGCCATTTTCCGACGAAAATGTCCGCCGGAAAATGATGTTTTTCCTGTAGTGAGAAATGAAAGTCTATTTTATATGATCAAATTGCAGAACAAATATATCGCTATAATTTTAAAATTAAAAAATATATATTTGTATAGAGACTCCAATAAATTTGAAATCTATTATTAAATAATATTGAACTAAGAATATCCTCTATCTTATTCTTAAATACTCCCACTTCAAATATTATTGCTGGCCTCCACATGATTTCAATAAATTAAATGAGGAGATAATTGAATTTGATCTCAAGGCAATATCCATAGTTGTGAATGTATTGAGTCAATCATAAGCTTAGATGTCACTAAGATTTTATTTGGAACAACTTTTATATTGCTTTTTAAAGCAGTTTTTTAGTACAATTTTTTTTTTACTAAAAAGCTGCTTTAAAAAGCAGTATAAAAATTGTGACAAATGAAACATAATTTTTCGAGTTCAAGATGTACTTCTAGCTTAATTCTATGAATTCGAATTAGCTCAATTCTAATAATTTTCTAGGGTTCTTTGATGCATATACAATTTTAGAAGACAAATGTTGCTTATGTTTTCATTGAAAAAGATATATTATTTGAGCCGATGGATCCAATGTGAGAGAGTGAGACTATTTTTAAAAATGATTAAATTTTTCGTTAAAATGGAAAAATTATATAAATTTTGGACAAAAGAAATGGCATTATAATATGAAAAAATATATATAGAGATTAAAAGATCCAGGTCAAATTTTTTATTAGGAAGAATTTTAATTTTATTAAATTTAGTTTAAGATTAATATAATATAAATTTTAACTATTTATTTATATATTACACTTTTCTCAAAGCATATCTCGTAATATTAATATTCATTCTAATCATTTTTTATAATAATTTTTTATGCAAAATTTTTTTAATATAATTATTAAAAAAAATGTTTAACTATTATTTTCTAACTTATTTTTTTAATTATATTAAAAAACTATTATTTTCAGATAACTCCCACAATACTTTTATAATCACTTTTTAAAAAAAACATGACCGTTAATCATTTATTTTCAGTAAAATTTCCTGCTTCCAAACGCAACGTAGAAGAGAGTACAGCCATTGGAGTACAGCCAAATGAATAGCACCAAGCTTTGCAAAGTTGTTAGAAGTTAGAACAAACAAAACAAAATAAAATAAAATAAAGTGTAATTAATGTTGTTCACCTTTTAGTTCTTATTATATTATGCACAGACTGGAATTAAATGTTTATTTATGAATTAAAAGACTACTGATAGAGTCAAATTAGGATAGCAGCCTGCCCATGAATGTGAGATTATTTTGTGCAGTCAACGGTCAGTTTAGAGATAAATTAGGATACGTCACATCATTCTATACATAGCAGTACACAATACTGATACACTGCTAAAAAGTGATGTGGCGTGTCCTGATTCGCCTCCGAATAATATCCGGTGACCGCACAAAATAATTTCACGTTTAATGGGAGCTTAAAATATCAATTAACATCTTTTTATTTTAAAAATTAGATCATAATATTTGCAAACAATAGAACTAAACAAAACACAAGAATGCAGATTTAGAGATTACTAATGCGTAATTATCATAATCATAGAGACACTATGGGCAAGATTATTTTCGACTAACCATTAATGTTTCACACTAATATTATCTAAAATGAAGCCTATGATAATATGCCTCTGAAATGATTTATAAACTTAATTGCATGATTAAATTTTGTTCTAGTTTTATTCTTTTTCATATTTGAATTGCGTCTCAATGGATGATTCCATGAAAAAGCGCTTTGATGCCAAAATTGTAGGTTTCATATGGGACGGCTTTCTTACTGCTTCTTAAAGAATTTAATTTTTGTACTAAAAAGCTGCTTTAAGAAGCAGGAAGAAAGTCGTCCAAAACTAAGCTTTAGTGGTTTGATCTAAAATGCCAAATTTTTTTGAAATAATTTGAGTAGAGTTTTCATAATGAATCATAAAAATGAGATCATATTGCCTCCATGGAAGGTGCATGTTTATGTAAGAGATGATCAAATTTACAATAATTTTGTAGAAAAGGCAAAACAATTGCTCTCAATATTGGGAGAAAGGGTTGGAGCTTGCTTAAGATGTCATGTTCTTTCATAATGTTATTTAATAGGATAGTAAAGTGTATTTTCACAAATAATCCTCAAAAGTTGAAGTTTATTTCATTGAAGTATGATAATCTAAGATATTTCATCTAATTTACTATGTCTTAATTTTTTTTGATATAGCACATATTATCATCAATTTTCACTAAAGCAAGCAATCCTTAATTTGATAGAATAATTTCTTGCCATGAATATCAATATACTATCTAAAATAGCTAAGAATTCACATTCTAATTTTAGGGTACATAGAAATCAATGAGTCAATAACCAAGTCTATTTCAACACATCTCAAAGTTCAACTGAGTTCAAACCATGAAAGCTCAATTTGAGGGTGTTAGACCACTTGAACTACAATAGCACATTAAGAGGGAGGTGAATTTGTGTTTTAATAAAATTCTTTTTCTACTATTTTTCTTTTGAAAAACTTTAACCAAACACAAAATTATAATTTTAAAACAAGTTTCTCAAGCGGAAGCAAAACAATAAGAAAACCAAATAAAAATCAAAATTTGACCTACATCCACCCCAGAGTCCTTCACTCTGAGTATTGCACAAAATTATTAGTGATTCTCCTTTTGCTCACACATCAAGGCAGAGAAATCCTTACAAAATCTCTTCCACTAACTCGGTACACCAGAGAATCGAAATCCTTTTCACTCTCCTGGTGATGCAGAAACCTGATCGAAATCATTTTCACCCTCCTAGTGAGGCAAATAACTTGAAGTCCCTTTCACCCTCCTGGTGCGGCGGAGTTGTCGGTAGCCCTTTGATTCCAAAAGGTTCTTCCCGAAGTTAATTTTCCTCAAGTAAAGCTTTCACTCATAGAGGAAGAAGGTAAATGATGACTGGAGCAACAGTGTGAAGATTTCCTCCCTCACACTCCTTCGATCCCACAATTTTATTCTCTCTCTCTCCCTCTCTCTCTCTCTCTCTATCTCTATCTATCTATCTATTTCTCTCTCAACACATCTTTTTCTCCCAAGCCCAAAGCTTACCTTTTAAACTATCTCCCACAGAAGACTCAAATCCTATTGACTAGACTATTCAAAATGAAATAAGAGATCTTTAATATTAGACTCCAAGAAAAATCCTAAAATTCAATTAGTCGTCATACTTCGTACAGTGCGATCTAAGGATCGTATAATATGATTAGTTCAATTCTCCCTTTAGTATTATACGATAACTATTTCCATGTATGCTTAGTTTAAAGGTTTCAGTTGATCATCCAGCACCATCTTATAGTCGTATATTATGATTAGTTCAATCGAATATTAATTCATCTTGGACAAAGCATAGCAATCAACTATCATCCTAGTCGCCACTCCGTTCGTACAGTACAAACCTCACTTCGTACAATATGATCATTAATCATAATTAATTTCAAATTTGAATGCTTAATCATAAGAATTATATTAGGCAAGATTTTTACATATTGTACATGATGATTGGTATTGTACTGTATGAAAAGACCAAAGTTTAATTTTTAAAATATTACCTAATTATAAATGACAGTGGGGATTTCTAAATACAAACTGATCGTCATGTATGATTATGATCATACAGTATGATTAGTTCATCCTAATCTTAATTTTTATTTTCTTAATCAATGTGTTTTAATTAATTTCTAAATGAACTAGTCGTACAGTACGATGCAGATCATCCAGTACAATTTTCAGAAAAGAAAAAAAACCTTATGTTTCACTCTCATGTGTCTATGTGTGTGGTTTCTACACTAACATGCGCATTTTACAATTCATAGACTCAAGAAATATAAAAATACATATTCTTGCATACATCAACATGTTCTACCCAGCCTTAAGCCCTAATACTTTGGTGGTGCTTAATTATGTTGTACCTGAAATGTTAATACACTCAGAAAAATATATATGCAACAATAACAAATAAGAGAATCCAATTAAAGATTAATAATGTTTGTTATCATCAAAACCTAAGCTCGGGCTCTCGGATTGCAACAAAATAGACCAAATTGAGGTTGCACAAGAACTGATTGAAACAGATAATTATGTATTTATGAATGCATATATGTATCTCAATATTTTTATATGTATCTAAATTTATAAAATTATGTATATTTAGACTAAAACTTATCTTAAGAAATCAAAATCAATTAAAAAACCATAATGGATTTGTTGCTTGGATCAAGCATATCCTTTAATTAACTAATCCTTGTCTAGCTAGAATCAAACTCAACCCAATTCTACCTATATCTAAACATGATTTAGCTTGAGATAAACCAAATGGTTAAATCAGGTAAATCTACTCATGCTATTATGTAAAAAAAAAAAAAACATATCTGGATTAAAAGAAAAAGGGAAGTCTGCCACACAAAATCACTGAGGAGGGTTGTTTTGTTGTAAGTATTAGGAGTGTAAAATAAAAGAAATACATTGCTTTAGTTTTTTTTTTTTTTGAAATAAATCAAGTACTAAACATTTTTTTATAGAGGATTGGAATATCTCAAAGTATTAATTTTTGTGAATTTGAAATTCACTCAAATGAGGACGAATCAACATGAAAAGAAAACTCACTATGAAAAGAAAACATCAACATCCAACCAAATAATGCAAAAATATCATAACCAAATTTAGTAATTTAAGATTTTGTTTGGAACATATTTTTTATTGCTTTGTAAAACAACTTTTTATTACAAAAGTTTCTTATGCTAGAAATTTTTATAAAAGAAAGTTGATTTAGAAAATAGTAATAAAATTGTCTCCAATGAAGCCTAAATTCATTGTAACAAATCATGATTCAATTCCAATTCTCTCTCTTTATGTAGAGAGAGAAAAAAATAGATAGAGATGTCACTTATAAAATGTGACAAATTTCAATTGTGAAAGTTATATATCATAGAATCGAATGAGAACATAAAAGTTAATTTATGTAAATAATCTTTCAAAAAAGTTAATGGAACTCTCAAATATTCAAATATATTGTTATGGGCTGTGAAATTTTTGATAGTAGAGTGAAAAAATTTTGTCTTAACAATACAAAAAATTTAATGCACAACCAAATAATTAAAATGGTAGGTAAACATCAGAATTTTTACGTGAAAAATCCTGAAAAGTGAAAAGAAATTATGGGGTCTTGCTCAGTTATAATGATTTCAATAATATTGCTAGAACATATCACAAGAGTCAATAATACGTATCTATTGATTAGATAAACGCGAAATTTTTTGGTTTAATATGCTAACCTTATCGGAAGGTAATTGCAATTGAATCATTCCAAACCTGTGAGTAAAATTGAACTCATCAACCCAATCTAAAATTTCATGTCCATTTTGTTTCCATTCCTTAGGGGCCGTTTTGCATCAATTGGCAGCCACTTGTGATAATTATTTTTGAAAACGTCTTAATTTTACTTTTAAAAGTTTTTTGAAATGATTTTTTTTTAATTTATAAATAATAAATATAATAATTACATTCATTAAATAAATCTATTTTTTTAATAAAAATTAAAAGGTTAAAAAGTCATGTAATATAAACACTGAAGTGAAGGGGCATTTGAATCACTTTCTTTCTTTTTTATTATATATATTCTAAATATTAAATAAAACCCACCGCTGCTTGTTCGGGTGGTGAAGAGCCGGCTGGGCAAAGCCTAGGTCCCGGGTTCAAATCCCTTGGCAAGCAGTGAGAGTCTTAAGTGTTGGCCGTGTAAATTGATGTGGGTTGCATGCTAGGTCAACCGGAATTTTCATTGGCATAAGGACAGTACTTCATCGTAAAAAAAAAAAATTAAATAAAGGTATTTTTATTTTTATTGAATATTGCATAAGACATTAATGATGGCCGTCAATGGCAGACTGGCCGTCAGCGACAATGATGAGTTCTGACTTCTGAGGAGGCACATATTCGTCAGAATTATTCACTTCTGAGTTCTGACTCCAAAAGTCATTTTAATTTAAAAAAATAAAAAACTTTTAAAATTAATTGTAAACAACTAAACATTAGTAAAATGAGCCTTTTTTCAAACAAAAAAATAAATAATATAAATCGAACATATTGTTAAAAACTAAAAATAAAAAGTGACTCATTATTCAAAATACTAATTACATATGAAACTAATCCCACCTAGAGTTGTGAGTGAGTTATGCAATTTACCGAGCCGTAGACGTGTAAGTGAGTCAAGCCACCTCGAGCACTGCTCGATAAATGGCTCGTCAGCCAAAACCGATGAGTTATCGAGCTAAGTATGAGCTGATCCCGACTTAAGACTCATTAGCTCAGGAGTTGACTTTTTTTAAAAATACTAATATAAAATCACTTAAAATGAACTAGCATTCAAAAAGTTAATAAAAATATTTAAAAATAAATATCTTTTTTTCTTATATTACATAATTTATTATTATTTTTTAAAATTTCTCATTCTTTTTAGCATTTTATTATAATAATTATTTGAATCAAAATCATTTTCCCTCTTTCGTAATAAATGAGCAGCTTGTGAGCCAGCTTAAACTTATAGAATAATGCTCAACCTCAAGCTCAAACTTGATTAATTAACTAAATTCAAGATAGGTATGACTTGAGCTCAACTCGACTGATTTACACAGCTTATTCCCACACATTTGAGTTATAATTCTATAAAGCCAGAAGCACGCATTTGGGTAAATTAGTAAAATACAATAATGATTGAAGGACTTAAAAGTCCTTTTTAATTCTATCTTATCACATATTTGATTACAAACTATGTAAAAATCCACAGTCTAAATAAATAATAATTAGATTCTCATACAATTAAAAACATCCTCTATAAAGTTTTTTATCATTTCAATTAAAGATTAAAATACCTTTAAAGTTATTGAAATCATGTATGTAAAAAATTTATGATATTAAAAAAATGATGATATTAGTAAAAATGAATAGTTTTGATATTTCATTTGAAAGACAAAATATCAATTTTAAATTTTATGTAGAATGAGGCTTTTCCTTCTAAAAAGAGAAAAATTCATACATTAAAGTTTTGTTTGGATCAGCTTTTTTATTACTCTTAAAATAGTTTTTTAATAAAAAAAAATTAATTTTTGTACAAAAAAGCTGTTTTAAGAAGCGGGGAAAAAGCTGTCACAAATGAAGCCTAAATTTTAGAGGAAGTTACATACTTAGTACTCAAAAGATTAGCATTTATATATTTCACACTTAAACTTCAATATTTTTATGATGTAACGCTCTATTAACAAAGTTAGCGGATCTTGTTAGAGTCATTGGATCTTGCACAACATGTCACCATCTTGTATTCGTCGTTGCCTAAACTCGTCAATGCCTTCCCTTAGACCCATCATTGTTGTCTCTAGGCCGACCATAGCCGCATATGTCCATGTGATTCCTCACTTGTTGTCAAGGGCATGAAGAATTTTCAAAGATCGCTAGCGTCGAGAGCTCACAAGCAAGGGCATCAATGATTTCAATCGAGGAAATTATGTGAGGAGCACACAACAAGGTCATCAATGGGTCCAAGCGAGGCGGAGCTCACAGGCAATGGCATTGACGAGTGCAAGCACGACAAGCTTGCAAGCATGGGCTTTGACACGCAAGCTAACATTTGGCGAGTGCGTCGTGCGGGTTAAGGATTTTTTAAAAAGGGTGTTGTTCTTATAGTATTTGAATGTAAATAATGAAACTTGAGAGCTATGTCTCTAAATTACCCTAAATTTTATCAAATATCTTGATACCCTTGACTTTCCTCCCTTCTATGAAACCAAACTCACATAACCATGCAATAAAAAAGTTCCCAAAAGCATATTATATAATTCATTTTGCAAATAAAATCAGTATCTGGAAAATGCTGTATATAATAAGAGTTAAGGAGTGAAGTTACCAAACATAGTAACATATATAGACACTGTACTAAAGAATTTCAACGTTAAAATATTGACATTCATAGGATGGCACACCTGTTTTCGGCCTGTTTGCGAAACTCCTGAGACTCTTCCAGAGCCCTCTGTAGCTCAGCTTTGAGCTTCTTGATCTCCTCATCTGACTTCAACCTTGATGCTTCTGCAATCTTTTCTGCTTTCAGCCGCGCGGTTTGCTCTTCGGCTAATTGCTTCTCAAGCCTTTCTATTGTGAAGTGCAATTTCTCCTCTACCTGCATAAAGTCAAAAATTATTTAAATTATGAGTTTTTTAAAGTGAATGAATGATCCTTCAATATGTTAAGGTGTGTTAATTTTAGATCTATTTTTTTCTAAATATTCAATTTAGGCTTAACTTGAGTAGATCTAAAACTGAATATATGGAGTGTAATTTTAATAGTAACAGACCTAGTGGAGCATTGTGACTTTAGCCAATCAAGTCATTAATAAGAGTAATCGTTTTAGATATATTGAATCTATTGTTCAGAGTAATATGGATGGGAATATTATCAGTAGAATTCAAGTTGGATGGTTGAAGTTGAGGAATGGATCGGGCTTGTTGTGTGATAGAAAAGTCCCCCTCAAACTTAAGGAAAATTTCTATAAGATGGTGGTGAAACATGCAATGCGTTATGGTGCAGAATGTTGGCCATTAAAAGATAAGCATAATACTAAGTTAAGTGTTGCAAAGATAAGGATTCTCGGGTGGATGAGTGGATTTAACCTTAGAGACCGGATTCGAAATAAGCATATACGTGAAAAGGTTGAAGTAGCTCCCGTGGAAGATAAGATTAAAGAGAGCCGCCTTAGATGGTTTGGTCACATAAAATGACAGCCTTCCGATGACGTGATTAAGAAAGCAGAGGTATTAGATTTAACTTATATTAAGAAAGGTAGAGTTAGACCTAAAAACACTTGATTAGAAAATATTAGAATTGATATTTATGTAAATATTAGAATTGATATTTATGTACTAGATCTAAACGAGAATTTGACTTTTAACAAGACACAATGGAGAAAGAGGATTCATGTAGCCATCCCCACGTAGTGGAACAAAGGCTTGATGTTGTTGTTATTGTTGTATTCAATTTAGGCCTTCGTTTAGGATAACTTTTGATTACTGTTTTTTCGTTGCTTTCAAAAAAAATTACTAAAAAAACTACGTTAAAAAGCATCAAAAAGGTTGTTCCAAATGAAGCTTTAATCACTCAACTCATTAAATCTGAATCAATTTGACGAAATTGTTAGAGGGAAAACTTCAATAAGAAAAATCTGAAATTTTTAGATCAATTTCATTAATATGAGCAAAGATTTATCCAAAAAAGTTCAAAATTGCCGGAAAAGCTTCCCTCCGTCAACTTTCAACTAAATAAATGACAAAAGTAATAATAGGATCAAATTAGTTTTGATGAGTTGAATGAAAAAATCTGGGACTAAAAAATTTATGGACCATTTTGATCATTTACGCTAATTTCATAAATGAACAAAGGAAACATACAGTGAAAACCATGCAATTTTTACTAAAACAAGTAATACCATTTCAGTTATGCGTTTGATCTGATCATCATATGATTTATAGATCTCTTCCTTCAGTTGAGATAATTCCTTCGCGGAGTACTCCTTATTAGCTTCAATCGCTTCCTCCATTTGCTGCCGACGCAAGGCTCCTTCCTGAATAAACATGAGAAATAATGTCATGGATGAACTTACATGCTTGAATGATGGATCTGTAAATCATCAAGGCAAGAACAAAGTTGTACCTTGACTTGAGAAAATATTTTACTGGAGAATGGTTTTCCCCCATTGCTTGCGGCAATGGAGTCTACAAGAGAGATCAACTGTTTTAGTTGCCCCTCTCTCTTAATCTTGTCCTTGGTGTTATTATCAAAAACGACAACTCTGTTTTTACACAAGTTTATAATGTTCTGCAAGATAATTTTTATCCAAGGTAGGAAAGTTAGACATCAGATGAACTTAATCAAAAATATGTTGAGAAGCATGAGCATAGAAAGAGATGCGGGAAAAGTAGAAGGAAAGGCATAAAACAAATCTAAATAAAGATTAGTAGTGTAGATACATATGATAAGCCTCTAAGTACTATGTTGGCATATTTTGTGAGAAAGCATGTAGCATATTTAAATTTAAATTGTCTGCATGCTGGACTTCAATCTTTATTGTTGACCTCAAAATTAGCTTCGGAGTCGAGTTGACCATGCACAACGAAAAAGAGAAGCAGAGGAGCACAACATCTCATGAAATTCACATCAAACTCGTCGACCAAAAACTCAAATTAGCAAAATGGCATCCATTCGCGAACCAAACAGCGCCGACTCATTCGGGGTAATTGAAACAGCCAAAGATTGACAACCATATTAGCTAGGGTCACCAATCGACAACAATTGAAAGGATCGAGGTGGAATTGACATGCACAAACAACAATGATTAGGCAAGCAAGTTGATGCATGATTAACTAAAACAAACATTCACTATTATTTTAAAAAAAAAAAATGAATGAAAATTTCAAATATATATAATTAAAAAATCCTACATATCCTAACCCTAACCCTCCTCACATAGATATAACTCATCCCACTCACTCCCTAACCCAACACAAACGCAAAGGGCCAAAGCCCCCCCCTCTCCCCTTTGGTCGCACAAAACCTGTGCCAAGCCTTGACGACCCTCGCCATCATGCATGCCGCCGACCAACTCCCAAGGTCGGCCACCTCCTCTCCTTTCTTTTCCTTCTTCCTCTTCTTCTCTTCTTCCTTCTTCCTCATCTTCTTCTTCTTCCTTTAATCTTCTTCTTCCTCAAAACCCTAACCCTAGCCGCCACCTCCTTCTCACTCTAAAATCTGAGAGAAAGAAAGAGATTTCTTTCACTAACTTCATCTCTTCAACCTCAAAATCCCCTCCCTACAACCTCCTACATCATACCCATCAAAAATCTACCTTCCTCTCTATTCTCTGTTTAGACCTAGAGAAAAAAAATTCTCTAAACATAGAGAAAAAAAATTCTCTAAAGATAGAGAAAAAAATCACTTTCTATCTCTAGGCCACCTCGCCAAACACATCTCTTTCATTCCCTTTCTCACTAGAGATAGAGAAAATAATTTATCCCTATCTTTCTCTCTCTAGAATTTGAGAAAGTTTATCTCTCTAGCCCACCTCTCTCTCTAACTAACCCTCTCATCCTCTCCTCCTTCACTCTCTCTCGACAAGAAAAGGAAATAAAAAAGAGAGAAAACTCATGCGCCACCTCGCCTCATCATCTCACTATCATCGCCCTCGCTATCATGCACTTTAAGGTATAACCCCACAACTTCAAAACTCCAAAAAATCCGAGTTGTGATGCATTTGGCACGACGAGTGGTATAAGTACCTATTTTTCTTAACCAGCGGGCAAAACTTGTAGGCAACGCGGACAACATGCCGAGCAAATCTTGTTTGCACTTTTCTTAGTACGGTGGGATCAAACATAAGTATCCATGTTGTCTTTCTTGACTGGCGGGGAAAGATTATAATTTGAAAACAGGTACCTGAAGACCCATGTGTTTCCTTTCTTGGTTGTGGGATTGAATATTACAATCGCGATATTAACTATAACACCAACTAGCATACCCGATGCAACTCCCTGTATGGGGAGAACACCAGGATGCTGCCAAAATTTAGACTAACGAGCAACTTAAACTAAACTTTAAAAAAAAACTAAAATCTAAAATTAAATTGATAAAAAAAATGAAATCCTAAGTTGCAAGTTGAGAACAAAAAAGAATAGAAATGTCTTTTAGAGAACTTGTGTCGAACTCAACAGCTTGCCAACGGCATGAACCAAAATCACCTCCTTAGTTCATAAAACACCTCAAGTCTCTCAAGAACACCCTCTGTTACTTGAAATTTGTGTAATATGAAAAATATATGGGCTCCCTATTTATACCCCAAAAGGAAGTCATTTGTGGAGCCCATCTAAACTAAAACCCAATCATGAAAAGCAAGGAATGAACACATGTAAAACATGCTAACATGACATTTCGGGGCATTCATATTGGGGTTCCCGATAAACATGCAATTGGATAAAAACATAAACAATAATACGCCTAAATATGAATGTCAGTTAACCTAAAAATGCAAAACTATGTATACACTCCTACAACTACGCATTCATGTCAACAATTATTTTGTAGGACCCTTGCATATCACCTCAATTAAATGATCCTCAATAAAATAAAATGAGCAGTCATGCTATGAATCATGGGTGTACAAATGTCCTAAGAGACATACATGATAGATATTAAAGGGATTCATACACATCCCATGAACATGCCTTTGAAAAGAAATAAAATAGTACATTGTTGTGTGTCACAGGTTGCACGACTCTAAAAAATTGCGAGACACATCAAATCATCAAAGTAAAATTTTGTTAGTGTCCCCAAGTCATCTGGTGCAAATGCATCGAAGATATATGAGTGTGTTATACGCATACATTAAGTAGCGTGTGTGCATATCTTTAGATATGCGAGTGCATTTTACAAATGCATCAATAATCATATAAGATTCAGATGCATCATACGTGCACATTTTCCAAAATGCAAATACATTATGCACACGCAGTACGTCATACATGAATATATCATGCATACACATTATGTGACATGAAGATGTATCATGCATATATGAATATGCAAATGTGCCATGCATATGTACTATGCAACATGCATATATACTATCCAGGACTCCAATATACCATGTATGTGCAGTACAAAATTCAAAGGCATCATGCATATGTACTATCTAACACGTCAATATACCATGTACATGTGTCTGTGCAACATGCAAAGGCATCGTGCACATGTACTATCCAACACACCAAATATCATCTACATGAGTTGTGCAACATGCAAAGACATCATTCATATATACTATCTGACATGTCAATATATCATGTGTATGTATCATGCAACATACAAAAGCATCATGCATACATACTATCCAACATACAAATATATCATATTCATGCACTGCATCACAAGCATATACACCATGAAACATGCACATACACAATCCAACATGCAAACATAATATATATACGCCGCACAAAATGCAAATGCATCGATGCATATGCAAATGCACCAAACATACCTATCAAGAGGCATATAAATGCAATAAAACTACATGATTAATTTTCAAAATTCCAAAATCCCCTTTAAAATAAATGTGGGCATGGGACCTAACAAACATAATAAATATACAAGCGTTATGTCTGAAGATTATGCACATACCCAAAAAATAATAAGTGAGTTTTAAAACGCGCAACATAGATCATGCAAGTGTGCTAAAAGGCATACATAGCATTTAAAAATGAAATTTAAATTATCTAAATAGAAGTGGTCTGACCATTACGCTAAATTTTTAAACCTCGATGTCCAAGAATGCTACACAGGTCAAAAGTGAACATAAATTCAAGTTTGACCCTCATCCTTGAATGGGCTGGATTTGGCACGACTTGAATCAACGAACAAATACAAGGTCGTAGCTTCGACCAAAGTATTTGATTTTATATGTTCGTATTAGACCTTCAAGACCTCTTATAAGAAAGATTCATTCATTAAAGCACAAATTCTCAAAACTAACGATTATTGAATCAATCGAAATATTTGAGTTTATATGTTCATATTAGGCATTCAAAGTCTTTTATAAAGAAAATTCACTCATTAAAATATAAACTCCGGTTATGCATACAACTACCTAAAAAATCAATAGTCGAACTAGATCTTTTGTTGGCAAGAAAACAGAGTATACAAGGTTCAAATAATGAAGATCACCCACAAACCCTAATGATGACCGTATTGAATGTAAATCTCAACAAAAGAGGACTCAATCATTAAATGCCATAACACTCAAATTGAGCCCGATCCTCTGTTGATAAATATACAAAGTTGTAGGGTCAATCACTGATGATGGCCATGATGAGTGTGAATATCAACCGGAGGGGATTCTCAATTTTAAATGCCTCCAAAATTCAATCAAATAAACATATTTAAACTAACTTAACGCAACCCCAACGACGATCGTGTTAAAAATTAATCTCAACCGGAGTGGAACATATCTTTTAAATACCTTTAATCTTCAATTAAATATAAATATGTAAAGTGACTTTAATATCACCCCAAAGATACCTGTGTTGAATGTGAATATCAACTAGAAGGAATTCTACCTTTTAAATGCCCCAAATTTTCTATAAAATATAAATATATTTAAAATGACTTTAATGTCACCTTGATAATAGTCGTACTGAATATAAATCTCAACTAGAGAAGAATCTGTCATTAAATGCCATAACACTCAAATTAAGCTCGATCCTCTCATGATAAATAAACAGAGTTGACATAGGCAATCTCCGATGATGATCGTGTTGAATATGAATATCAACTGGAGAGAATTCTATCTTTTAAATGCTCCAAAACCCATGTATTAAAGTTCAAATATTTTAAATGAAATTAAATCACCTAAAAATTTTTAAAGCAAAAATCTATCCATCTTTCAAAATCATTTTTCAAGGAGAATAAATTTGAGAATAACTTCGGCTCACAAGGAGCGAATGTATGATCAAAAATATCACTAAGATTCATCCACAAACAATCTTTTGCTATTAAAGATATGGCAAATTTCTTTTAATCAATGATTTGGCCTAATAGCTCCATAAGACTAGTGGCTTGGCTCAACAGCTCCAAGTGTTAAATAGTTATGATAGGATCCTCTAATTGGTGGATTGGCCTAATGACTCCATGGAACTAGTGGTTTAGGCCAACGTTTCCACATGGTGAAAGATTATGACTAAAGCCCTCTAATTGGGCGGTTTGGCCTGATGGCTCCACCATATTATGGTCCCGGCTATAACTCGTATATTTCTCAATGGCTAATGTCT